CCCCCACTTCCCCCTCTTCCATGTCCCCGGAACTGTTGGTCCTGTTGTTTTCTCCTCCAGATTGTTCATCCAGCCTATCTTATTTAGACAGACCTGCGGAAATAATAACATGCACAAAAATAAGACAGAGCAAAACCAAGCAACAATGTACAACAAAACAGCTGTTTATTTCTTGTTTGTACCTATCTATCTATCAAATCATAAGTGTCATGGTTTTTTCTCTCTCTCTAGAGAACCCTGTCTAACACAGCTGCTAACTAAAAGGTTGGCAATTTGAGTCCACCCAAAAGCAACACCGAAGAAAGGAAAGGCTAGCTATGTCTAGAATCTCAACTACTGGGAATACCATAGAACACATTTCAACCCCAGCACACATGGGGTGTCTGGAAGTCAGAATGAACTCACCAGCCACTGTTTAATTTTCTCAGCAAGAGCTGGAGACAGGGATGCTGCAGTTGGAAAGCACGAGGGCCATTCCACACAGTGCACTTCCAGTGCATTAAGTTACGGTTCTCAGCTTGCCCTTGGGGAGGGAAATCTGATGTTTTATAAGACGGGCACACCCAGGACAGATTGATATAGCACATGGCAGTTCCTTAGTTACAGTGCAGCACTCAGTCATCCAAAGTCCATGGGGATAACAATTACAACTCTTCCACGCCAACAGCCTCAGAGAACCATTGTCACTTGACCACAACTCTCGGGCCTTGCTTATCAATGGCTTTGGTCTGTTCTCACAGATAACTGTTCCTTTTTCTCTTCTCCAGGCAAAGATACTCCTTCCAAGGATCCGACCGCATCAAGCGAGTTTATCTCCTCACCAGAATGCAAGGAAAAATGCTTCCTGCCACAGAAGATGACTCCAGGTACCTAGATCCCAAGACAAGCTCTGACTTATTTATACTTTCCACAGAGACTATTGCAGAAACATTGTTTATCTTTCTCACCTGAGAACTCCCCCTGGCGTCCCCTTTCGCTACTGTCACCAAGTCTGTCTTTGTAGAGATGACTTTGACTATGCCACTGGCTTGCTTACAAATCTTCTGATGTTCTCCATTATCGTCTGTGGCCCTCCATGGTCTTTATCTGTGCAGCTTTATCATTACAAGATCCATTTAAACCTTCTCAAGACAGCACCCAAGGCCGTTCACAAGCTGGTCTATGTTATGAGCTCCATAGGCTTCTGATTTGTTTTAGTGAAAGTATCTCATGTTGGATTGTAAGGTGCAGGAGAGCAAGGGTGATTTTGAAAAAAGAATTGTGTTTTCTAAATCATACCTAAAACAGTCATTTGCATATAGTTGACGCTCAGAGACTGTTGGATAAATAAATACATAATGAATATGTGGAGATCACATTTGAATTCTATGTAGTACCTATCGGGGCACCTTATACAAGTGGGCTTCAAAAGTTTTTGTTTACTTTCAATTCCATTTCCCATGACTCTTTGATGTCCCCTTGCATATACTAGATGCTCGATAAATATTTATCCTGTTAATGGGCAGGTGGATGAATGGTTGGCAATGTTAGGTGATGTTGGCTAAGCAAAATGACATGTGTCTTCATCATTGATGTGTTTTTCAGAAACAGAAAAGATTTTTAATGTACTAGGGGGCAGGGGTGGAGGTGCGATCTTATTCTCAACACACAAGGGGCCCCTACAGGGACCCCAACGAAGTCATGGAGACTGAGATTTCAGAGGAGGCTCCACCTGAGCCAAACAAACCCTGCGCCAGAGGCTGAGGACAGACCCATGGAAGCCTTGTTTCTGCTGTGCCGTAGCTGGCACCACTTCCGGAAAACCGTGTGCCTTGTCATGTGCTAAGTGACCTTCCCAGGGTCTCCTTTTCCTCCCATGCTCACCTCCAGGGGGCGGTGCCCAAGTGCCACTCGTTGTTTTCAGAGGACATCTAGAGGATCCCCAATCCATGGCAGCTCCATGCGCAACGCAACGAAATGTTGCCTGGTCCTGAGCCCCCCTATTGCGTATTCCCATCCGGGGCAGATTAGACGATGATCCGCTGTGACCCACAGGGCAGCCGTGGACTGGCTCTGGGAAGTAGATCGCCAGGTCTCTTCTAGTCCATCGCCGTCTGAAAGCTCTGCGGAAGTTGCTTTGTATCACAGCGACGCACCCGCTTGTTCAGGGTCACAGTGACACACCGTGGAAGCCCATTGACTACGACTTGAACCTGCATTTTCCTGTAGGGAAGCTGGGCATTGTGTGTGTGTGTGTGTGTGTGTGTGTGTGAGAGAGAGAGAGAGAGAGAGAGAGAGAGAGAGAGAGAGAGTAAAGCAACATGATTGCAGAGCCAGATTTCAAAAGGATTAGAATATGACCAAATACACCTCACAGGACAGTGAGGAACCCAGAATCCTGACTCGTGGCGACCCTATAGAACCCCTGTGGATTTTCGAGACTAACTCTTTATGGGAGTAGAAGGCCCCATCTTTCTCCCTGGGAGCAACTGCAGGCCTCGTGGAAAGCAGCCCCTTGCATAACCCAACATGCCACCAGGGCTCCTGGACAGTGGGGGCGGTTCTCATTTATTTGGCCCCGCCCCCAGCCTCCGTGACGCAGAGGGCCCTGCCAGAATGGACAGCTGCCCAGGGTCCGTGTTCGGAGCGTATGGAGATCTCAAAAGTAGATTGTTAATTTAAATCCAGAGTTTGGGGACCCCTGTAAATTAATTCACACGGAAGCGACTATCACTCAGCAGGGACAATTCCAAGTTTGATTGCGGAGAGGAATACGGATTTGGCTTTGCCTCTGTGGTTGCATTTTGGGATGTGAACCACAAGGTCAGCAGTTCGAAATTATCAGTGGCTCCACAGGAGAAAGATGAGACTTTGTACTCCCGTAAACGGTTCCAGTCTTGGAAAACCACAGGGACGATTCTACCCTGTCCTGTAGGGTCACGGTCACTGAGTCAGCATCGACTCCGTGGCAGCGAGTGTGGTTTGGTTTTTAGAAGGCTGGAGGCGCTGGGCAAAGAGATCGCAGCCTGTCAATGCGGAGGTTGAACCAGGTGTGGCCAGACGAGGGCGGTCGAGAGCAGCAATTGCTCCTGTACTGCAGAGAGGGGAGGGCGATGATGGCAAGCACGGATGCCTCAGACGTGAATCAAACATTCAAATTGTATCAGGCACCGAGGGAAAAAAGCTGCATGTGCATAATCTCATAACAACGTTCTTAGAACCCCCGAGGGAGAGACCCTATAATTGTCACTTTGTTAATGAGAAGTTTAATGAGAACTGAGCCCATGCTTCTGGGCTTCCTCTTTGCTGAACGCATCTAGATCTCCGCGTGCAGAGAATAACACGGGGTGGTGGTGGCTGCAGAGAGCACATAGACCGGGAGAGACTGCATGGACAGTCTCCCGTAGAAGTTCACGTCAAGGCCAGGCCGGTCAGGTGCTGAGAAGAGCAGCTGGTCTGCAGCTGTGGTATGCTCAGAATATCTCGCTTGAGATATTGGCGTGCAGGCCGGCACTGCGGACCCCGGAGGGCCGACAGGGCTGTCTCTGATGTGTCTCAGAGTGTGTAAAGGCCCTGCCAAGTGAGAGATAGAAGAGAGACATCCACGATGATCTAGCCCACTGTCTCTGTGTACCTTGTTTGATAATTACGGCTGCGGCTGCTGTTTACTTTGGATGGGAGGCGCATGTTGGAATTTGGCCCTTGGGAACAATGCTGTCCACAGGTGCCCCCACCCCCCAGTCGCTCCATCATGCTGTCTCAGTCCCTTGGTAAAGTTTTCTTCGCAACACTTCTCCGAGCCATGCGATTACTTGCTTCTCGCTTCTCTCTGCCAAGTGGAAGATGAGCTGCATGAGCACGGGGGCCAAGGCTGCGGCTGCCCGCTGCCCGCGCTGCCACCAACGCAGCTGGACCATGTGGGGCCTCAGCCAGTCCTTGGGACGGAGGATAGAGCCCGCTACCCCGGGAAACATGAATCCATACGTCAGCGGGAAGAAAGCAGTCGGAGAACACATACTTGTACATGTAAAACGCACCCAGACGGCATGCTGGCGTCCTGTATCTACATGCATTCCTTAGCGTGGATGCACTAGCAGTCCTTCCAAGCTTGCACCCATCACCCCCTGGAGGAAACGGTGTCCTGCCTTCTGCTGTGTCATGGTATCTCATCCCTGCCGGGCACGGGAAGAAGAGAGCCCACACGTGGCGGAAATGACCAATGGGCAGCTCGGAACCTTCCCAGGCTTCCGTTCCATTCGTGTCTCTTTGCTCTGTGGAGGACAATTCAAAGGGGCACTCGGGTGATCGTGAGAACTTTCAAAACTGACTCGATGGCGGGGAGTAGTTGAGGAAGGATAACACCAATGTAGAGCTAGATCCCAAGCTTAATTGTTCTACCATCCCCCTTTTTAAGAAAAATAAAATTACTCAGTGCCCCCTGGCACTGGAATTAGAATTGGAATTTTCCCCCTCCCTATAGCCCATAATCCAGAATAAAGTGTAGGTAGTGCTTCTGCAGTGCCTCCTGGATCATTTCAGCACGCTCCAGGCGTACATCGTGGGAAGCACTGATGTGGAGATTAGGTAAACACATGTGGGGGTCCACTTTGGGAAGCGCTGATGTGGAGATTAGGTACCCACATGTGGGAATCATGGAGAACCTGCCAAAACCTTCCCTCCCTTTTCTTGCATCTCTAGCTGGGTCCTTCTCCCTCTGCTCTCTTTCAGACCTGACGCTCTCTTTCTGCGTGAAGAGCCGGTCCCGAAGGTGTGTAAATGGCCTTTTGCAGGAAGCTGCCAGGAGGAGGCTCTGGGCCCTGGAGAATGAGGACCAGGAGGTGCGTGCACTCTTCAAGGTGAGCTTCCAGAGAACAGAAGCAAGCGGCGAGGACAGGGCTTTGCGTGTGTCTGCTGCAGGGATCCCGGCACCCAGGACAGTGCCTGGAGTGAAATACGCTCGCAAGACAGCATCTGACTGGCCGACTGAACGAAGGGTTCTATGCGCATTCTCTGTTGTTAGGCGCTGTCCAGTCTCTTCCAGCTCATAGCAACCCTATGCAACTCGCCCGGTCCTGTCCTAGGCTTGTGCTCATTGTTGCAGGCACTACAGCATTCCGAGGGCCCTCCTCATTGTCGCTGCCCCTCCACTTTGCCAAGCATGGTGCTTTCTCCGGGGACTGCTCTCTCCTGACAACATGTGCCAAGTACGCGAGAAGGAGCTGGTAGTCACTGCTCTGGACTCCCTTTATCTAGCAGCCCACCCCCTATAACTGCAATCAGCGTGTTCCAAGGATGTGGGTCCTCTGGCCCCCGGTGTGGCTTCTGGCCCCCCAGCTCTGATCTTACCAAACTGGGGCTGTCTTTCTTTGCGTCCTTCTGTCCTCTTTGTCCTCAAGGGCTCTCTTAGGACAGGGTTCCAGGGTTGGGTCTCTGATGTTGGGACCTGGTCTCTGGGGGACAGGAATGCTTGTATCATGGCTGCTGGTAGCAACTCCGGAGGGTTGGGCAAACAGCAGAGAAAGATTCGGGGGAAATTCAAGTCAAACAGCAATCCAGGCCTGCTTTTTCAAGTATTAGAAAACAGAGGCTGCAGGTTGTCCCTTGTTCTGCTATAAACCGGCACCACCTTTCTGGAGGGCAGCCAGCTGTGTGCATCTGCGCAGTGAAAAGAGGTGCATGTGCTTGTCCTCCCCAGTTGCTGCATGGGAGGCTTCTTCCTGTGCATCTTTCTGTCCTCTTCAGCCTCCAGGCTCTCCCTCTCTCAGGGCACAGTTCCTGGGGCGAATCTCTGATTGTTTTCCTCTTGTGCTTTTTGAATTACAATCAAGCAGCAAGGCTGCGTACAAAGATGTAGCATCAGATGGTTATGGCAGTGCTGTCTGACCAAACCCAACCTGCTACGGCTCTAGTCCATTCCCACTCCCAGTGCGGCCTGAGAAAGGGCTTTGGGGGCAGCAAATCTTTATGAGAGCAGATGGCCTCGTCTTCCCCCTGGGGACAGCTGGTGGGTTTGGAACAGCTTTGAAGTTAGCAACCCCATGCTTATCTGACAGCACCATCAGGCTCCTGTTAGAGATGCTAAAAAATGTTGACAATCCAAGTGTCAAACTGAAGAGCAACAATAGACTACATGATGTTCAGGTAACAATGTAAACTACTTGTATTAGTCTGGATACTTTAGAGAAAAAAATCCACAGAAACTCATGTATAAGAGAGAGTTTTATGTAAAGGTTAAGTGTGCATCAGGAAAACATCCCAACCCAGTGCTGCCCAAGCCCAAAAGTCCAACATTAACCCATTAACCCATATGTCCAACACCAATCCACAAAGTCCTCCTTCATTTCACAAAACAGAAGCAATGATGCCGACTGCAGGAGGAAAGCTGAGTCAGTGAGCGTGTAAGCATCTCAACGCTGGCAGGGGTCTCTACACGAGTGCTGGAGGCCGCATCAGGGTAGGTCCATGTGACTTCTCCTTGGGGATGTCTTGCAGGAAGTCAGCCTTGCAAGCTAAAGCAGGGAACAGCTAAGGTAGCTGCACCCTGGTGCGACCATCACAAAGCAAGAGACCTGAGAACCAGAAAGGCGAGGCTCACTGAGCCATTTATCCCTCTGCCATTCAATTAACCCCACATGTGTTTAATGGCCAAACTGGCACAATTAACTAACTACCTCACTACTTAATGATATGGGAAATGGCTTGTACCACACTCTTTAATGACAAAAGAATATTATAAAATGAATTATGAAGTATGATTCTATATATATATATAAAATAGCTCCAAAGGAACTCATGTACAAGGAAAAAACAGTTCAGGGTCCACATGCAAAGGTTACATATTGGTGAGTTTAAAGAAGGGGTTATAAGAGATTCTTATTTGGGGTGCTTTGGTTTTGTTTGCCAGTTTTATAAAAATACGTGGACTCAGCATCAAATTCATTTTTATGCTGGCTTCTATGATTCACCCCCTCCACATCCTTTTTAAAAATTTAATTTGTGCAAATGACAGCATTCTCTGTGAGGAAATGCAGGGGTGGTGTGGGAGAAGCCAACGGCTTTTCTGAGCAAGCGTGATTCACCTGATGCAGAGGCCAGACTTGCCCCCGCCCTTCACCCTATGCAGGCACCAACCATCTCTCTATGGCACCCAACTTCTCTGCTGGGTTTGATAACCCCTTGCAGTGGTCCCCCAGAACTTAGAGACAATACTTGGGTGCTGGAGTTTATTAGGGGAGCTAACAGGTAACAAAACTTGAAGGGAACAGTTCTTTTGTGGACAGCTCCTCTTCTCAGCTGTGCTGGCAGGCATAGCTCTCTGCCTCCCAGCGCTTCACCACAGGGACCGCCCTCTCTACTTCGGTGGGCCAGGAAGCCCGTCTGTGGCCTGGCCGGCATCTCAGGGTGGCAGAGGCTCTGCCTCCTGGTCTTGGCATCACAGCTTCTGTTGTCTCAGCCACATCATGCAGGGATCTCATAGGTGCTCAGCTTGTAACTTTTCTTTCTTGAGGGTTTTGGGACTCCTCTCCCTCCTTTTGAGATGGCTCAGTCTTATACTCGGCAGAATGGCCAAACCGACCAGTCTGTGAGTTAGAGTCCCCTGCACCTTATTCACATCCTGATGGACCAGCGGACGGCTGGGCGTCTCAGAGACATGGCTGGAAGAGGCCCATTAAGCACTTTCACCTCCCTGCCCTTGGCTACACCCAGCGTTCTTTCCACTGCTGCTGTCGTTCCATGGAGCAGTAGGTATTCGGAGCATACCGCGGGCCACAAAGAGCTGCTCTAGCCTTTTCTCATGCCTGCATGGCTTCATAACACCCAGGTGGTTCGCAAGGGTGTTCCCAAGGGTGGTGCATGTGTGATATAAAGATCAGGGCCACAATCGAGCAGCCCATGCAACATGTGGTTGCTGTGAGAGTTTGTGAGTAGGGCTCTGTCGTGCCAGCACGATTCACGTCTCCTTCTCCTTAGGACCTTTCAGCAAGGTTGGTGAGTGTCCAGTCCCAGAAGTCCCAGTTCCTCGTCACCTTCAAGACCATGGAGGAAATCTGGAAGTTCTCCACGTATCTGAAATTAGGTATGGCCTGGAGCCACCCCAGGGAGAGCCGCCACCACCACACGGCTCGGCCAATAGGTGCAGCTTGATGTTAGGGCTTGAGCTGGCTCTTAGAATGAAAGAAGTAGAGCCCTAACATGAATGGGCTACATTTAGAAATATCCCCCAGCCCCACCCCACCCCTGCAACTAAATCTACAGCAAATGTTCCCAGTTGTTGTCAAAGGCCCATGGAAGAATTTGGCTTCAGAGAGATGCCTTTTTTCTTAGTTAACCCACCAATTAACCAACATTCACTACTAGTCATCTACTGAATTCTAGGCACAGAGATAGATGTGAATTTGACAGTTTAAGAGAGAGAGAAACTCATTTTGAGTAAGACAAAAGTTTTGTTTTGTTGTTAGCCTTTGGCTCCTGGCTGATGCTGTTGTACTTCACGGGGTTTTCATCGGCTGATGTTATACAAGTAGATTTCCAGGTCTGTCTTTCTAGTCAGTCTTAGCCTGGAAGCTCTTCAGAAAGCTGTTATGTCAATAGCAGAGTCATTTGGACCACCAGGAAGGCCTAAAGAGAAGCAACATTTCTATCCAATAATGTACGCTTATAGATGTTTGAAATACTGTAAGTAGAATAATGTGACATGTACACCATGTTCAATCTCACAAAAGGGAACATTTATTGGACTTGGGGAGAGGAGTGTCAGACAGGTGTCTTTGTGGGTCAGAGAGAAGTGCTACACACACACACAGGGGGTGCTCTCAGGGCTTCTGGCATTGAACGTGAGAGCTGGGGAGCTTCCAGGGGGTGTGCAGAAGCCCTCAGACTCAACATTATGAACTTAGATCTTGCTGTCTTAGAGGTATTAGAAAGAGGGGAATTGTATTTGGTCATTTCATTATGCAATTATAAAGACCCATATTATGTTGAAAATGGTGATATCATTTAAAAATGATTTGTGTTTCCCAAGAGATGCTAAGAAATACTCATGAACATCTAGCCTCTTTCCAGCACCCTCCCACCCTATCTTCTTCCGGTTCTAGTTCAGTGGGGTAAGCCTAGGAATTGAGGTCTGGGAGGGAACCTGCTCACTGCTGTGTTCCGCTAATGCCAGAAACCATATTGTTCAAGACTTGTGTTTACTTGACTCCTTAGGCTACGTGTCCACCTGCCTGGAGCACCTCCTCTTTGACCACAAGTACTGGCTCAACGGCAGGCTGGTGGAGGATACGGAGATCCACGTATCAGTAGATGATAAACACCTGGAGACATTATACCTGGGACTCCTCGTACAGGAAGGTGAGCATGGAGCAGGGGTAGGATTGGGATCTTTCCTGGGGTTTCAAGTGGAGGGAAAAAATAATTTTTAAATGGACAGGAATACGAATGAATGGACGTATTATTCTACTGCCCCTGACAACCCCTCCTGACTGGGCACTGGCACCACCTGGGCAGTTATGGTGGCCATTCTGGGTGATTCAGGTTAGAACCATGTGGGGAATTTGCAGAGATGCACACATGAGGCTTCCCGCAGGCCAATGAAGTCTTCAGGCGTGGAATCCAGGCATTTGTAGTTCTAAAGTTGCTTAAGTAATTCTAATGTGCATCCATGATTGGGACTCCCTTCTGACAACATAGGCTGCAGATTAACTGCAGAACAAAATGGCACATCTTGCAAAGCCTGAAGGATTGCACGTCATGGGGGGCAGTGATGTTGGGCAACTGCTAGAGGCACCCCCTAACCTATTACCATGTGAGATCTGATCAAGGTTACACGTGACCAGTTAACCATGGAAGTGGACAAGCCTGGTGCTGTCATAGACATGGTGAGAGAGTCTGATGTGCACACAGCTCTCGAACTGTTTTGCCAAAATGCTTCTCTTTAGGATCGCATTGTTGCGTTATAGGCGCGGGAAAGAACTGTATACTCTGCAGTTATAATACAATTTTGATGGCGAAACATTTGCCTAAATCAGCATACTTTATTCCTCACTGGTTCTGAGGTTGGGACTGAGGTTGCCACGACCACTTAAGTTCTGTTCAGCAGAAAGATCTTTTACCCGCTACTGTTTCATTCTATTTTTCAAGGTTAAAGTCCCAGCCAGACCTAATTTTCATGCACTATTCAGACACTGGTGCTTATTTTAAGTGCAGCCCTTGTAAGTGGCATTTCCCTGGGATCACACGGACGTCCTGTCATGTCCCCGTCAGACTCCCTGTGTGGTCCTCCCGGGAAGAGGAGCCTTGGGGCTCTCAATAGAGACATTATACTGCGTGAGGCCCTCTGTCACTGCCTGCTCCTCTGGAAAGGGCTTTTCTCCATACCCACAGGCCACTTCTTCTGCAGAGCCACGCGCTCCGTGGCTCCGCTGCCCGAGGATGAAGGCGAGTATTTGGCTCTTGGCAAGAACGAGCTGGTCTCTGTGAAGCTCACTGAAGGAGAGACCGAGTGGGAAGGCGTGTCCTTGGTGACGGGTCAGCGGGGCCTGGTGCCCGTGGCAGCCCTGGAGCCCCTGCCGCTCCCTTTCCACCAGTGAGTAACCACAGAATGCGAGCCGTCTCGCTTTCAGACGGGCACATTCCAACCCCACCCCCCCCCACCACCACCACCATGTGCACTCCCCATGGTCACCAAGGGCTGGGTCTTTCAGAGGCAGATCTCCAGGTCTTGCTTTGGAGGGGCCTGTAGATGGACTTGACCCTCCAATTCTCAGCTCATTAACCATTTGCATCCCCTTGGGCATCCAAACTTTCAGGAAAAAAATGAGCAGTGGAGTGGGCGTTGTTACATCTTCAAGCCTTACGTAATTGGATGAAAGACGTTGTAGACAGGTTTACATTTCCGATGGACCTTGTACCTCGGAAGCATTTCTCATATTCCAGACCAGGGCTTGCATCCAGACTGCTAGAGGGCTTTATGTCAAATTCAATGCACCTGGCCCTCCTCAGACCCACTGTGCCAGGCTGAGAGCATCCCTGCTAGAACACACCACCAACGCCCATATAGAGTGACAGGAAGCCCAAAGGTCCCTGTGTGTGTGGCTCTGACAGGGACTCTGGTGGCATATAGGGACCAGAGTCATTTGTGAGATTTTCACTGACAAATGGATGGCAGAGCCAGCAACTCCCCTCCTTGTGCTGAACGTCGCTCGTTCACGGAGCCAGGCACGAGCCGAGTTCTCAACAAACACTTGCCATCACTTAGTGGCGTGAGAACAATATTTCCACCACCAGCATTCATCAGATCGCCTCTTTTACTGATTGTTCTGAATTTTTGAAATCTGTGTTTGCAAACCCCACACTTTCCTTGGCAGATGGTTCCTGAAGAATTATCCCGGAAGCTGTGGCCTTTCCAAGAACAGGAATTGGACAAGCTCCTATCAGATCGGTATGTCTCACTTGGCAACAGTGGTATTAGGGAGATCAAGTGGTCCTGCCTCCTAATTTGATCTGTGAGTGGTTGTTATACACCACACAACGAAAGACCACGAGGTCCTGTGCCATCCTTACCATTGAGTCTTATGTTTGAGCCCATTGCCGTAGCCACTGTGTCAGTCCACTTCATTCAGGATCTGCCTCTTTTTTCTTTTGAGACGTTTGAGTTTAGTTGGCATAAATTCCTGTCTCTCCTCTACTACTGTTAGGATTTAGAAAAGCCAGTTCTTGGTTGCTATGAGTCAGGACAGTGCGTTTGGTTTGGTATGGTCCACACACACATCTTTCCTGGTCTGTGGGAGGAGAGACTGTGGTCTCCACCCAGGGCTAGAGAGATAAGTGGCCCCAGGGGCAGGCAGAGGGAGCTTATAGTGGGGTGGGTGGGGAGTCGGGGGATGCATAGAAGATGTGAGGGATGGCAGGGACAATAGGGGATTAAAGATATTAGGTGGAAAAATAATCCCTCTGCTGGCCAAGCTAAAGGTTTTGTGAGCCAAATGTGGCCTGCAGACTGCCTACTTTTAAAAGCTTCTCTAACTATTTTTAGAATTTTGTGCAATTAACCTTAAATTTAGGAAAAATAAAAATGTACGGCACATACTGTGTACTCAGGAAACTTGACTTGAATAAGTGAAAGAAATACCTCCTGCACATACAGTTGTTTATGTATAGGTTTATGTGTATATATTTCTGCATGCATATGCACATACATACACTTTAGATAACATTTTTCTTTCTGTGTAAGTGTGTGTGGTATGTGTACATGGATGTTTAGACAAGGATTCCCGATGCTCATCCCTGATGGTTAAGTGCTTGTTCTTGGCTGCTCACCGAAAGGTTGGCAGTTCTAGTCTAGTGTCTACTGACTGTGGCAAGAGCCCAGGTGGGGTAGTGGTCACACCTTGGGCTGCTAACCCCAAAGCCCCAAGCTGCTCGGAAGAGCAAGATGAGGTTTTCTATTCCCATCAAGGGTTACAGTCTCAGGAACCCACAGGGGCAGTTCTGCCCTGCTATAGGGTTGCTGTGAGTCAGCATCGATGTGAGAGCAGGCAGTGAGTTTTTGAGAGCTGCTGGGGGAGAAAGAGGTGACAGTTTGCTTCTGTGAAGATTACAGCCTTGGACATCCTCCGGGGCTTCTCTGCTCTGTCTTATAGGGCCATTATGAGTCAGGATCTTCTAGAAAGCAATGCATATATGGATATAGATATATGAGGTGGCGTAGTGGATTAGTGGCTACTAATCGCAAGGTCAGTAGTTCAATACCACCAGCCACCTGTGGGAGAAAGACAGGCTTTGTACTCCCATAAAGAGTTACAGTCTCAGAAACCCATAGGGGCAGTTCTACATTGCCTTATAGGGTCAGAATCGGCCCAATGGCATTGAGTTTGTTTTTGACTTTATGCATATATTAAAGGGCTTTAGAAAGTTCACACAAAGTAGAATGAAGACATAATGGAATTTTCCATTAACTTTTTGAAGCCCCACCTCTTGCCCCCCTGTACACGCATACTCATTTATCTATAACGATGTGTGTAGTAAATGGGTAAGGAACTCCAATGTTTCGAGGTAGATAGAATGGTCATTTCTTTCATTTTCATTCTTAGAGCCTCCCATATCCAGTGCACAGTACAATTTTGCAAATTTGAAACCCAAACAATTATTTAAAGAGAAGAAAAGAGAGACTTGTGGAGCCTAGGCTTCAGACTGAATGAATTATAGACTAAGACCTCCCAAACTCGCACCCCCTGCCATAAAAGTTAATTACAACTCTTAGTGAACCTACAAGACAAAGTATAACTGCCCCATGGCCTTGGGAGGGGGAGGGGTCCATCTTTACAGGAGCAGACAGCCTTACCTTTCTCCGGCAAGGAGGCCTGATAGAATTAAACTGCTGAGGGGAGCAACAAGGGATCCAAAATCGGTGGCAGGGAGGATGTGAGAGGCCTGGTAGGGATACAGGAAGGGCAATGCAACTGAGAGAGGTCATTGAAACCCAAATGAAGGCTGAGCATGATA